CGCGAGGGGGCGAAATCCCCTCCTTGACCTGCTGCTCACACTCTGGGGGTGCAGCCCAGCACACGGGGGGCTTCTGGGCTGCTCTCCATCCATTCCCAAAAATCAATGTATAATTTCAAAGGAAAAAAAAAAAAATAAAAATCAATCAATTTATGCTTTGACATTAGAACTCACTCATAGAAATGGGACTTGGAGATGGACAGGAAGCTGCAGTCTCGATTGGCCTTGATGGTGAAGATCAGTGGTTCCCCAGTCAGGACCGCAAGCTGCCCCACGAGCTCTCCTGGGTGGGTAATGAACAGGCAGGTGTCCTCCTCTGAGTCTATCTTCCGCTGGTACACATGAAGCATCCCCGAAACCACAAAGCAAACATTAACATCCTGGAGAAAATGGAAGAAGAGCTCAATATAATCCCTGAAGATTCTAAAGCAATTATCACAGTGACAGCACTATCATGACCAATCTGTCTTCCACAAAGCTCCCTCTGGTTTTGAACAATTAGGTGATAAAATAAGACACAATAGTGAATTATTAAAAGCAGGTTATGAATATTTAAAACTAAGGAGCCACAATATTGACAAATGTGTTTCTCTTTGTATGGTTATGAAAAATGAAAGCTGCATTTGTGAGATCTCGAGGAATAACACCACAATTGCCAATGCAGATAATGGGGTAATTGCAGCCGTGTGGAGAGTGACGTCCCAGGTCAGCTGAGCAGAACACAGCAGCTCTGAATCTGGAGCAGCCCCTCAGCTGCTTTCCAGAACCTGTCCTATTTACACAGTGTTATTATAAAGGAATCTCGTTGTATCCTAAATAGAGTTTTCTATAAACAAATAACACTGGATTTCTATTTTATTGGGGGGAAAAAATACTGCAATTGAGAGACATGACTGAAAGCCCGCAGCGTGGAGCATGGCAAAGGGCTTCCCACACTCTGCAGCTCCTCAGGAAGGATGGAGTTATGACAGTCTGTACCTTCTCTGAAGGTTCCTAAGAGCTAAACACAGACAAGCACCAGATTTCCGCTCTGGCTCTGACTACACTGCTATTCCTTGTGCACAGAAAGGCTGCAAGTTGGGATTGCTTCGCCTGGAGAAAAGGCGGCTTGGGAAGGGTCATGTGGCGATGTTTTATTTACCATCAATGCATATAAATACCTTATAGTGGGGGGCAAAGACTGAGCCACACTTGGGTTGTCTCTCCTCCCAGGCGGTGGTCACTCACCTGATCTCCCTGCCTCGACAGCACAGTCCCAGCAGTGACCTGGTGCAGCGTCACTTTGCCGTTCAGCAGCGAAGGATCCTGGAGAAAAAGGGTACAGAGGGTACAATTTACTGGTCTGTGCTCATGTAAAGAGCCAAGATGTGAGGAAGCATCCGAAGAAAGCAAATGAGAACAATCATTACTAAAGACAGTAAATACTTGAATCTCTTTAAAAGATGGTGCCTGATTTTTGTACTTCTCTCCCCAACAGCCATTTCTTTCAGAAGAAAAATCAGGTTTAATTCATACCAATGCTCAGACTTGGATTCTTAATGAGTCTGTATTTGTCAATTCTGTCCCCAGACTCTTTTAAGGGTCTATAACGAAATGAGACCTCGATCAGCTGGTATGAAAATCATGAATTATGAAATTACTTTCAAAGGAAGCTCCCCCAGAGTAATGAATCCTTGTGTCCATGACCATGCGGATTTCACAGGAGAGTGGGAATTTTCCACCTGACTGAAGAGCACAGGGGAAGGAGGGTCTGTCCAAAAGCCTGCCCTTGGTTTGGACTAGAGCTCAACCCTTGCAATGGCAAGGAGCTGGTCCAGTTAAGAGTCTCAGCTGATCAGAGATTCCTTTCCAGCTCCAAAACTGGTCACCACCATAATCTTGAGCGCAGAACAGAAAGGGGAAGAATTTTGTTTTCATCTCAAAGAACTGCCCATATAATTTGGTGTCCCACATGCAGTCAGTGCCAAACCCCAATGCTTGAGGCCACATTTGCTTTGACATATCTTCCACCCAAAGCAGCAGATCTTCAGCAGCTCAACATTTCTGGCTTTAACCTGCCAGAGGGGAGATGGAGATGAGCTCCGAGGCAGAAGCTCTTCCCTGGGAGGGTGCTGAGGCGCTGGCACAGGGTGCCCAGAGAAGCTGTGGCTACCCCATCCCTGGCAGTGTTCAAGGCCAGGTTGGACACAGGGGCTTGCAGCAACGTGCTCTAGTGGAAGGTGTCCTTGCCCATGGCAGGGGTTGGAACTGGATAAGGCCCTTCAACCCAAACCACTGTGTGATTGCACAATTTTATTATCATCATCCAAATGGGTAGAGGCAAAACCTCAGCTCAGTTACATGCTTCTTGCATTAAGCTAAGCCCAGGACTTCCCCACAGTGGCAGAACCACCTCGAGCAAGAGCTGTGTGCACAGTGATACAGCTCAGCACGAGCCCCTCAGCAGAACCTGCCCATAGTCACGAACCTCATTGCTGCAGGAAACAATAGCAGAGACGTAAACACTTTACCATTGCCACTGCTCTGCAGGGTTTTCTCTATTCATTTTTGGTTGGAAAAAATAGAGCAAGTGAAATAATCAGAATTATTCTTTCCACCTCCAGCTGATAAAGAGAACAGATCTTAATGAAAAAACAGTTTTATTGAAAGCAATCTGTTTGATGGGAACGTGTCCAATGCAGGGAACCTGACAAGCACCTGTCAAAATATTGCAGTTCAGCAATATCAACTAATTCCTGTGATGGTTCTGCTATATTTATACATTGATGGTTGTAGGGTATTACCTACTCTTATAGGCAGAGCTCTAACTATGGAAGCATCTCACAGTAAGGGAATACAGGCTCCCCAGTGAGCTCTGCTTACCAACAGCTTTCTCTGCTGCATTAGCTCCAACAAAAACTGTTGCAAGGATTTTCCTCATGTCTCAGACTCCTGAAGTACTGGAGTAGACTGCACATAAAGCTGTACTCAGCTCTGGAGAGCTGTAAGAGCAGCTTCGTCAAAAACCTGCCAGAAATGACTTAGCAATATTGGATTCTGCCTTGGGCATGAAAAGAGCCTGAATGACCTCCAAGCAGACCTTGAAATCTTATTTTCTGTGCTATTACTACCCTGAGTAAGCAATGAAGGAGGTGACAAACGAGATCACAGACACGGTGCATCCTATCTGGCACCTCCTCTCTTGAATGGGCCAGACCAGCAACCCCAAATCCAGCACTGCACAGTTATAGGGTTCGAGCTGAACAACCTCCAACTGATCCCCTCCAGCCACTTGCTTCTAGGAAAAGGAGTGCCAGCACAACTGAACCCATTTCACAGCAAGTTTCCTTCTTGGCATCACTAGCAGAGGTTTATGATGCAGACGTGAAAGCACAAAACACTTCTAAACACTACCCAAAAGCAGGAATTAACTGGGACACACCACTGTTTTGTTGTAACTCAGGCAGAAGAGATACCCTGCAACATTAACTCTCATTCCTAACTGCAGACAGAGCTGAAAACATGGGAAAGATGTATGAGATTGAAAACCATTCATGACAGGGATCCAAGGAATTCAAGTTATTTAAAACAAATGGAAAAATCTTAATTCTGAACTCAAATACCTAAAGCGCATTTGAAACAACACCTCCCTCCTACAGCAAATGAACCCTTCATGTCTTTCTTACAGTCTCACAAAAAAAAATCAAACACCTAACCATAAACCCCTGCCCCATCTGCCATCAGAGTTTTATTCACTCTGATGGGCTGCTCTGAAAAATGACAACTTCAAATGCCCTCAGCCAGCTAAGAAATAAAAGATCCAGGACATTTCTTTAAAAGAAGAGCTCACAGGATTCATTTTCTTCCTCTATGGAAGTAGTATTGAACACAAATATTTCAAACCACAATAAGATTTTTCTTCAATTGCCTGGAGAAGACTTGACTTTTGCTAATCCTGCATAGAAAAAACTAACACTGACCTTTATATGAGATCAGGCTACATTCGATCTGTTTCTTATTTGCTTGTGACAAACTGAGTTGCTACAATATCAAAGTTTGAAAAACCTCCCCTATTTCACTATTTAGATCTCCTACCTTATTTCATGATAACTTAGATCCTCATGTTACAGACACTGCCTACACTGGCACAGAGAATCTGTGGCTGCCCCATCTCTGGCAGTGTTCAAGGCCAGGTTGGACACAGGGGCTTGCAGCAACGTGCTCTAGTGGAAGGTGTCCCTGCTTGTGGCAGGGGTTTGGACTGGATGAGCTTTAAGGTCCCTTCCAACACAAACCAGGCTGGGATTCTATGATACTGTTCCAAAACTTTAGTCTGTTCACTTTTCACTTAGTGAGAAATTTATTCTAGATTAAAAAAATAAATAAAAAATGCTGTAATTAGGAGCTTCAGAGATCTCGGAATGTTTGTTCATGATCCAAAAGTCTAAAAAGGAAGACACCAGTTGTATACTGGATACAAACTTCTGTCACAGGCAGTGCCTGAGGCCAGTCCTGTCAGGAACAGGAGGCTGATCAGAACAGATGGGAGCATCTAGTCCTGCTTTATTTCATCTGCAATTTACATAATTGTAAAATAGCCTGTAGCCTTTCATGAGGAGAAAAATGCCTGAAAAAAAACACCCAAAACCTTACAATTAACCTAACAAGAGAGTTAATTCTCCTGCAGACCACAGACAGTACAGCACCCGCTGTCAAACCAGAGACGGCAGATCATGTATCTCGAGCCCCACTGCTGGCAGCTGAAGGATCACAACCAAGAATTGGAAGATGCAAGAGGAATAATTTAGAATGGTAAAATCCAAAATTAAATCCTTAAAAGGAGCTTTTGAAGCAGAGGAGGAAGCTGCAGCAGCTGTGCCCAGGCCTCTGGCAGCATCACACCCTTCAGTTAGTCAAATATATGCTGAAAGAAAACCAGAATACATGGAACTGATTGAGACAAAATGTAGTGTTTCCACTAATTGCCCTATTAGCTGCATGAACAGAGACACCTCTGTAGTGAAATGCAGCTGGAATCATAGGAATGATGAAAACAAACATTTTCATTCCTTCTTACACCACAGAAGTGATAAGCAGGGGCTCAGCTCACCAGTGACGCCTGCGAGGGCACCAAAGGGCATGGCACAGTCCCTCAGCTCTGCAATGCACTCACAGCCCTTGGCCAAACACACAGCTTCAGTTCCCAAACCCATCAAGGCACTCAGCGCTGTGCCAACAGGATTAATGGATTCAGCCATCACCTGAATGCCTCTACATAACTTCTTCACACAGGACATGAGAGCATGAAATTACAGGGCAGCAGAAATTGCCAGTTTACTTCTCACCCAGATAACTGCACACAGTGAGGAAAGATCCATGCAGTGCATTCCAGTGTGGTCTTTTCACATGGCAGAATAATGCAGATTTATGGCAGTGCTGCTAATAACTTCAACAGACCAGAGAACAAACCACTCAGCCAGTCTACAGTATACCAGGGAGACAAGTTACTTTTTAGTGCTTAGCAGAATGAGACGAAAAGCAAAACCAAAGCCACTTCTTCCTGCAATCACTTACATCAAGTTTCATCAAGGTTGAAAGGTCTTTCTTTGCTGCTTCAACGATGGCATCAATATGTTTGGTGTTACAGACATCTTGCACAGCACTATAATGGAAAACTGCTGAAGGAGCTTCTGCCACTGTCACAGACTTCTTCAGTATCGACTGCAAGAACAGATACACAAGTATTGATTTAAAGATTAGAATTGGCATCTACCCAGCAAAAACTTGCCATATCGTCTGTGTTCTCTACCCACAACTGGTGGCCTGCATAAAAAAAAGCTAGGTTTTTAAAAGCAACAGCTTGCTAACTTCATTATCCTGGTATTTCTCTGCAAGGCTTGACACTCAAGTCAAACAAAGTTACTCATCACAGCTTGTGGAAGGGAAGAGTAAGAGAATTCTCAGAAACTGGGCAGTTGCCAGCTTGAAAGAACTAAAACTTGATCAACACTATATGGAAAGATGAAGAAAGGATGAAGTGTCTGTCAAGCTCACACAGTTTCTCTTCAGATTTTGGTTTGTAGTTTTATAATTCAAGAGCATCCTTAACTTCCAGGTCAGTGTTCATAAAAAACAGAACACGAACAGAAAAACAGGTTTACAAATTATGACTGAAATCCCACAGGAAATTCAGAACTAAGACAAGTTTTGCATTTCTATTTTCACAAATAAAGCATGGTCTGACAAACTCACCTTTCCAAATAATCCTTTTCCTGAGTCAGAAAAAGGCAGTAACAGCTAAAGGGGGCCTATAAGAAACCTGGAGAGGGGCTTTGGACAAGGGCCTGTAGGGACAGGACAAGGGCAATGGCTTGAACCTGCCAGAGGGGAGATGGAGATGAGCTCTGAGGCAGAAGCTCTTCCCTGTGAGGGTGCTGAGGTGCTGGCACAGGGTGCCCAGAGAAGCTGTGGCTGCCCCATCCCTGGCAGTGTTCCAAGGCCACGTTGGACACAGGGGCTTGGAGCAACGTGCTCTAGTGGAAGGTGTCCCTGCCCATGACAGGGGGTTGGGACTGGAGGAGCTTTAAGGTCCCTTCCAACCCAAACCACCCTGTGACTCTATGAATACCTACAACCAAGAAGTTGCAGCAGTGCTTTCCCATTACTTGCCAAGTACTCCACAGAGTTTCCAGATCTGCTCTCAAAGCCTGAACAGTCACCCAAATCTCCTGAAACAACTACAAGTTAAAACACACCAGTACAATAAGACCAAAATCACAACTAGTACAGAGTTGCAAGGGCAGTGCTTTAAGTAAGGGGGATTACTGAAAGAACAATGACGTGAGGAAGTGCACTGCAAGCACCACACTGGGCTCTCCAAGGGCCAGGACCTACCTTGCCCCCAGCTGGGCTGCTGGCCACGTCCTCCAAGGCAAAGTGAACCCGGGCTCTTTCATACGCCATGTCCATGTCTGACTTTGCGCCACTGGAGTTGTCTACAAGCAATACAGAAAGCCTTTCGTAAGCACCTCCTTTATTACTGCTTCTCAGAAAGTGCACAAAGGTGAGCAACTTTGTTTTTTCATTTCTTAAGATGAGGATACAATAGAAAGTGGGATCCTCAGATTCTTATTTTTTTCCTGGTTCCTTTTGACTCAGAAGATCTGATGGGAACTTTCAATCTGCTCACCTGAGCTGAGGTATACAATACATCCCCAAATTCTCACATCCACTCTGTCCAGAGTACAATCATTACTTTGGGGTAGACAAAACAGGGTCATTTGGATCTAAAGATTATCAGGAAGAGGCAAATTCACCAAAGAGAGTTTCCTCATTGCTTTCAGGAAATTATCGTTATGAACCTTTCCTCCACCAAACCAAAGCACTTCTTTTGTAGACAATACATAGCAAGAGCTTTCAGAGGGAGAATATTATGATCAGCAACTTAAACCTCTCCGCAGACATCATTCCCTAAATGATGCCTAAAGTCATTGCAGCTCTTTTCTGCAACTTGTCCAGACTTTCACATGCTGAGAGATTCCTGAGCAATTCCCTGCCAGGCCTCACTTAATTCATGAATCTGTCACTAACAACTTCTACTCCCCATTTCCCAAGTTTAACACATCTTCATTATTAGCTCCTTGGCTGTCCCATCCACCTTCTAGGAACCTACCTGAGAGAATCAACAACACAAAGATAACTGGGAAATGCCTCCCGTGTCATTACCTTGAATAGGACGCCCATGATTCAGGCTGGTGATTCACAGAGGAGTTTAAGAATCACGCAGAGATTGCAGTTTCCTTTAATAAACCTATAATCCTTCCTATCACATTTCTATGCCTGATAGATCTGAAATCTATACTCAGAAAAGTTTAACTATTCTCTGACCTTTTTCCTTCTGTTCCTTCATTGTTCTTATACTTTTGCTTCCTTAAATACAAACTGCTGCTCAAAAATAGGATGAGCCCTTACGAAATGCAACTGTCTTTCCTGACTATTGAATTTGTTACTGACTATACTCTGACAGGGCTGAAACTTTTAACTCCCCGACCCCAGTCAGGACAGGAGTGAATCCTGCTGTCCCAAAGGCTCAGATCTACCTCAGAGGGCTCTTTTCCATGTTACCTACAAATATGGACAAACCCTTGCATGTAGAAAATCCACATTTGCCACTAGGGTCATAACATCATTTAAAGATCAGCCTCCAAACAAGAAACCCAACAAGTTGACCCGAAGATTGTCACCAGCAAAACTTAACTTCCAAACCATAAGATCAAAAACCTAAACCACCACCAAAACCAGCCATCCCCAATCCACAAACCAACACTGTTGATACTGCTGAATTTCATACACACTGCAACATTAAAGACCCTAAATTAGTTATAAACAACAACAAAAAAGAGCTGGGATAATAGAAATAGCAGCCTGGAACTCCATATGGGCTGATTTGACTGCCTGTCAATTCCATTGCCTCACAAATCACAGTGTCAGCAGAATTACTAAGCCCAAAGACACCAAGTGCATTTGAAATCTAAACACACAATTCTCAGGTTAAACCTAAATAATCTGATGATGGGCATGGAGGCACGAAAAGCATCCTCTGCACAGCTCTGCATAGTGAAAAATCAAGAGAGGAGAAAGAGGAGGCATTCTAAGAATGAAAGCTTATGTCTACCAGAGTTGTATTCAAAGAGAAACCTTCATCTCAGTCGTAGGTACAAGCTTCCCACACAGTGATTAATTAAACTGTCTTGTTGCTCAAATGGGAGTTAGAAAGGACACAGCAGAACAAGCTTCAACTAGAGGTGTTGAGTCAAAAGAACAGAAGGCAGTGGGAAACTCGGGATGGGGGGATGCAATCCTGTTTGGTGACCACATGCTCCCTGGGATCCCACACACTGCTGGTGTGGAAGTCACTGCAACAACACTGGCAGCCGACCCAGTGCCTGCAGAGTTTCAGCTGCCTCCCTCCTCCCAAGCACTCACTCACTCAGCTACTAGCTTCTCCTGACACGGGGTCCTACACTCCTGCATCTGTGCTGCAGGGTCAGGGCCTCGGTGCTGAAGAAGGAAAAGCAGCTTCTCTTGACTCCTGATAAAAAAGTCCCAACAAACCAACCAGTAAAAGGTAACTGCTACTTAACTTAAATCAAGTTCATAGAATCCCAGCATCATCAGGGTTGAAGGGACCTCTGGAGATCATCCAGTCCAAACCCCTGCAAGGGCAGGGCCACCCAGAGCAGGTCACACAGGATCATGTCCATGGTGGGTTTGGGATGTCTCCAGAGATGGAGACTCCACAACCCCCCTGGGCAGCCTGTTCCAGGGCTCTGACACCATCAACATAAGGAAGTTCTTCCGCATGTTGAGGTGACACTTCTCACGGTTTAGTTCATGGCCATGGCTCCTCATCCTGTCACTGGACATCACTGCAAAGAGTCTGGCACCGTCCTCCTGGCACCTGCCTTTGAGACACTGATCTGCACTGATGAGATCCCCTCTCAGGCTGCTCTTCTCCAGACTAAACAGGCCCAACAGAGATTCTCCAGACCCCTGAGCATCCTTGTGGCCTCCACTGGACCCTCTCCAGCAGCTCCTTGTCTGTCCTGTACTGAGGAGCCCAGAGCTGGACACAGTGCTCCAGATGTGGCCTCACCAGGGTCAGTAGAGGGGGAGGAATCACCTCCCTCGACCTCCTGCCACACTCCTCCCCATGCACCCCAGGATACTCTTGGCCCTCCTGGCCACAAGGGCACGCTGCTGGCTCACAATCAACTCCCAATGCTCCCAGGTCCTTCTCAGCTGACCTTGTGAACACTTCTGGCAACAATAGAACTGGTGAAGTTATCACATACAGAAGACCCTGTTGTTTTATTTCTTTCACCCAATTCTTCTGTCCAGCAGCCCAGATGCTCCTCGAGCCTTACTTACATTTTTCTCCACATAAAGGGTTGTTATACTCCAGAAGCAGACTAGCCCAAGTTGGCAGGGACATGCTTCCTCATCTATGTTTCAAGTTATACAGCTATAAAAATGAGGCAAAAATGTTTTCCCCAAAGTCACCTTGAGCAGTTTTTGTTAACTGTAATGAGCCAAGCAAACCAACAAGCTGCTGAGGTAACAGCACCTCTATGGCTCTGCTAGCAGGCAGCTGGCTCTTCCCTCAATCAGTAATAACACAAACAGTATTCCCAGGGAGCCCAAACACACAGCAAGGGAGTGGAACAGAACCTGAAGCAAGATATGATCTTTTCATTAAAGACATCAAGATACTTCCCATGAAGCTAAAATGTGACTGTAACCTCAGTGCAGTTAACAGAGATCAGCTTTGGTCACTGAGGCAAATCATGATTACCCATTAGATATGCTCCTTCTGTCAGTAAAAACTCATTTTCCCACTCTCTAAGCAATGTGTACCCTGACATAACTCTTAAGACACATAAAAGGAGAGAGGAAGGACAACTGGACATACTCACTGCTAGGAGTGCAGGATCCTTCCACTTAAAAGCTTCAAAGAGCATGCATGAACTCTACCTAAAGTGTGACAGGGCTGCTCGTAGGCAGATCTCACTGAACTACTGCATGTGCCCAGGAGAAAGTGGCTACATTCAGAGTCAGCATTACTTAACTCACCCCTGATTTGAGCCTGCTGGTATTTGTATAGTGCAAAATAACCCAATAACACGTGTGAAAATAAAGCTAAGTCTTGCCTGGGTCAGTTCAGTATTTTCCCTTACCTTGTTTCTCTGGTTCAGAAAGATGATTTACTTATCCCTAGCCAGAAACCTGCTTCCCTGTCACACCCATCCCTCTGCACAGTAACATGGAAGTTATGAAAAAAAAGTGAGTGGGACCTTGTACATCTGCACAGAAGAAACAGAAAAGGGAGTTGATCAGCTCTCCATTATTAAAAATGAAGTAACCATTGAGATGAGCTGTGAGGCAGAAGCTCTTCCCTGGGAGGGTGCTGAGGCACTGGCACAGGGTGCCCAGAGAAGCTGTGGCTGCCCCGTCCCTGGCAGTGGGGCTTGGGAGCAGCCTGCTCTAGTGGAAGGTCCCCCTGCCTGTGGCAGGGGGTTGGGACTGGAGGAGCTTTAAGGTTCCTTCCAACACAAACAACTTTGTGGTTCTGTGATACCCATTCTTCTCCTCCCTACACACAACCAACTTAACTTGATAGCAGCCAGTGTTAGAAGCCTTACACTGGGGAAGCCCCTCAGCACTGGGGGCTCCCTCAGCCCACCTCCCTCCTTTCTCCTTGTCTCCATACTCTCTAAGCCTTCACTCACAGTATGTTCTGATCTCCTAAGTCATTTAACAGTCAACACAAGCATTACATGTTATCGTCTAACATGGAATGTTATCTTCTAATGTACCCAGAGGACCTTTATTCCACTGATTAAATGACTTCTCTATTAACAGTATCTTCATAATGACTACAGTATGTAAGCATGAACTTAACTACCTCAAGATGGTTGGTTTGGTACTCAGCTAAGGAGAGACAGATTCCTTCCTCCTGTGAGTCACCCAAGCAGTTGCAGTTTCTCCACCCTGAACACAAAGCTAACCTACACAGCTGGCTCAGAGAAGATTTCTAAGTGGAGATGATAGAAGTTCAGCAAAATGAATACTGCAGCATCAAAACAGCTCATAAATGTCTCACCAGAGCATTCGGTGATAAGTCACCTTCATTACCCACTCAAAAAACATTCCTCTACAAGCAACAAATCCATGTGATGTGCTCTGTGGGACCATCAGCCAAGCAAGTGTGTCATCTTTGGCATGAAAGATGACAGCATATCATCATAACTCACTGTTTCAGTTATATCAATTAATAAAGCTCTTCATTTGTAGGTGTCTTGGAAGACAAATCGTTGTATGCTCCCCATTACTAGCAAAGACAGCAAGGGAATGCTCTCTTACATAATGATCCATTTGTGACTTCAGAAAACACATTTCTGACAAACGAGTTGGCAAGCAGCTCCACTGCTTGATGGTTGTCCAACACAAGGAGGAAGAGTAGCCCAGTGCTCCAGAGATCACATGTCTACCCCACAGGATTAGGTACGTTACCCATTGCCCACAGCTTTGCCAAGCACTACTTACTAGAGGTCTCTAGAGACCCTGCATAGGGAGGTGATGAAAGGCTTCTTCTGAAAATATGCTCAGAGTTTTCTGTACCAGAAATCTTCAACGGGTCTGAAATTCAGAAACAGAAGTTGCACAGATCTAAGCACAAGATACTCCCTCATGCAATAAATTCCACTGACAGCAAGAACCTCTCACTGCCCACTTTTAAAACTCACTAAAGGCTGTTAAAGGGCTTGAAACTCCAGTGTTAAACATTGTCTACACCTGCTTCCTGCTTTCCATTTAATTAAAAGTTTTCAGGCTCAGTGGCAAAATTCAACTCAATCTATTTTTGTAGGTTTAGGTTTCGTACTGACACTTCAACCTGGAAGCCTGCACATACCCAGCAACTGTTCTGCCAGCATCAGAGTGCAGCATTGTCGCAGCTCCTCCTATGAAGCCAATGTTAGGAGCCATTTTTTTCTCCCCTTACTTCTCAGTATCATGAACAAAGCAGTAATTTCCTATGAAAGCTAAGGACAATCCAAAGACTTCAACCTGAAACTGAGTTAAGACAATCTCTAACTAATCAAATAAAAATCATCTGATCAACAGCACAATGATTAAAGAACATCAAAAGGACAGTTACTACACACTTCCAGAGACATTACCTATTTCCAGTGCTTCCCCAGCTTTTTCCAGCTTCTCTCCACGATCCTCCTCTGACACATTAGACACTTGTCTCTTCACTGCTTTGCTTGAGCCTCCTCCAGCAGTGACACTTGTCACAGAGATAAGGGGGATGGCTTGGCTTTGCTGCAAGACACAAGGTGCAAAGCAAATATAACCCAGCCCCTCATACGCCTTAAACAGGACTAGAGCCTGTGCTGACCGCAGGGGCCTTCCCCCACTTGTGGTGGTCAGTGAAAGATTATCAAAGAGGGCTCTGCAGTATCTGCCAGCTCCCTCAGCACCCTGAGGTGCATGCCATCACAGCTCATGCATTTAGATATGTCCAGTTCACTTGAGTATTCCCTGACCTGATGTTCTTCCCCTAAAGGTACATCCTTCTTAGAACTGTTATGGGTAGAAGTGACTCAGTCTCATTAACAAATGTCAGGACTGTTCAGACACTGGCACAGGGTGCCCAGAGAAGCTGTGGCTGCCCCATCCCCGGCAGTGTTCAAGGCCACGTTAGACACAGGGGCTTGGAGCAACCTGCTCTAGTGGAAGGTGTCCCTGCCCGTGGCAGGGGGTTGGAACTGCAGGAGCCTTCCAACACAAACCAGTCTATGACCATTGATATGTACCCACATATGTGCACAGTTGGGCAGATACACCAGTGGGAAGCGATCCACTTCTTCAGACTTCTGAAATTTAAGCTCCCCCCCCATTCCCTAGATATCAGCATGGGCTAGGGTTTGTGGGCTGTTTATAACAAGTATCTTCTAGAGTAATGTCATTATTCAGTTAATATGTAACATTTGCTTTATGATCTTCTGAAAGAAGGAACACCTCCCTGCACCAAGGCTCACACAGACTGTGTACGCCAGACTCACACAGTTGAAGAGCTCTGTAGTCAGACCAAGGTAGTTGTGCAGTGCCAGGAATGTCACTCTCTGCAGCCTCACCATGATGATCTAGAAATGGAAATAAAGCAGCAACAGAATGGATTTAGTGTTCTCCCACACTTGTTCTTGCATTTAAACAGTTATGCACCAGAGTACCTGAAGGGACTTCATAAGATACAGACTGTACCCTAAGCTTTATCAACCCTTTTTAGAAGTTGATAAATTGAGGCAAAGATAAAGTGATTTACCAAGACTTCACAATCATCTGATGGCACGAGAATCTGAACTCTTACTCCCAAACACCAAATAATGCTTTTTGTTTTCCGTAAACATTAATAACAAATGTGCCCTGAAATAAAAGCATTTCCTTCCATTTTCCCCCCTCATTATTCCCACTGTCCCCCATACAGAGCCTGTTCTCCTGCTCTACAGCACTTCACTCACATAAGCTAACAGTGTCACCTGACCTTCCCCTGCCCTGCAGCTCATTCCCACTCTCAAGCCACCCCTCCTTTTGTATCCGCTCACACGGAGCAAATTAAATGGGCATAATGATGTGTTCTCCTCAACATTGGTACGAGGAGGTTCATGTGTCACTCACAAATCATCCAGGCACAAGGATGAAAGATGTAGAAGTGTGAGTAAAACCAAAGGACAGACCTGAATGACTATTGCTCTGCGGGACAACACAGCAAACCCTCCAAACTGAGATCCTGAGTACACAGGTCCCTGTGCAGGCTTCCACGTGCAGGATCATAGACAGTTTGGGTTGGAAGGGCCCTTAAAGCTCCTCCATTCCCAACCCCCTGCCACGGGCAGGGACACCTTCCACTAGAGCACGTTGCTCCAAGCCCCTGTGTCCAACCTGGCCTTGAACACTGCCAGGGATGGGGCAGCCACAGCTTCTCTGGGCACCCTGTGCCAGCGCCTCAGCACCCTCACAGGGAAGAGCTTCTGCCTCAGAGCTCATCTCAATCTCCCCTCTTTACCTAGTATCTAATCTAAATCTCCTTCTCTTGTAATCAAGAGACAGACTTGCAGGCTCACCTGAGAACTGCCTAAGCAAAGCGAGGGAAGGTGAACTTAAAACCAACACAAAGCACAGCTCTTTCCTCAGATGCTGACAGTTCCTTCTGAGGTAGAAATTCACATCAGTCTGAATTCTGTGACTTTTTCAAAGCATCACCCCTCAACAAACAGCTTCTCACTGTACATCGGTCCTTTTTCAGAACATGCAAGAGTCTCTTCCACACTCTAAGCCATTTTGAAGCATAACCATGATGCAGTGCCCATGCCAGCATGTTCTACTCCACCAGCACCAAGGAGCTTATAGGCAGGTCAGGCTGATTTGAGAGGCTATCACACACAGAAACCAATTCAATAAGTGTGTGTGTGTATACGTGTACATATATATATATACACACACACACACACATATATATATACACACATATATATATATGCATTATTTCTTCCTGGTCACGATTAACGCTGAGATCATTAAGTCCAGGGCTCTAAGAGCAAGAGGAGCAGCAGAACTAGTCTAAATCTTGACAAGAAGCTGTGTAGAACAGTTCCATACCTGCAAAAGCATGATGAGCTTGCTGAACTTCAACATGTCTTCCACTGTAACTTGGAAACTAGAGTGATTTCTGCTCCCACCCCAACTCTACCTCACCCAAAGCTTACCTGTACCACTCTCACCAGGGTTTCAGGGTATTTCTGGAAGACGTCTTGAAAGGCACTTGCTGGTAGCCTCAGTATGGTGGAGGGGATGGCTGCTCGGGCTGACACTGTTTTGTAGGGAGCAGGGTGACCCTAAGGGAAAATTTCAGGGACACAAAGTTAATCCACCAATTATCAGACCCAATTCTTCCTAAACACTGCCCAGATTTCTACTCTGATACCATATCTGCCTGACAGACATCCTCTGATCACAAAAAGCCTTGAGCTTGTGCTCCATAACCCGCAGGTGGTGTAATGAGGGCAGCATGGTCAGGAGAATTCACACCTGCAACTTCCCTGGCATTAAACAGAGACAGGGAAGTGAGAGCCACAAGGAGTATCAGGTTCAGGGGAATGAGTCCATCAGCTCTGCCACAGTTTTATTACAGACACAGCAAGGCTTTGGAGTATTTCAATTTCAGCTATTCCAGACTGCAGAGAAAAGAGGTTTTCTTGGTTTTATTATCTGAACTGATGGTCAAGCTGTTCGCTGAAGTAACAGTGATAGACTCACCCAGCAGCAAAAATATAACCAAGTTGTATTGTAATGACATACAAAATGGAACAAGACAAACAGCAGGCAGACTTCCTGTGTTCTAAGATATATATATATATGTGTGTGTGTTTGTATCTTCATGTATATATGTATATCTATCCATATGAAATAATCCAAATGACAAAGCCAAACAGCTTCTCTTGACTTAAAATGAGTCCAGACATCCCAAGTTGCTTGAAGAACAGATGGAGAAATAACAAACCAATGACAGATAAAGCTGTAAGTGGGTACAACAGAGATTTTTTTTACCCTAGAAGGCAAGAAACTGGTTTAGGATTTTCCCTCTTGAATGAGAACAGAATTTAACAAAAACCTATCACCAAACACTTGCTAAAGAACAGGACCCCTTCTACTCTATTAGTAACTGCTGAAAAGAGCATCTGTAAGTCATGAATTCATTTACTAACACACAAAACATAGATTTATCCAATATTTCTAACATAAAACCTCATGAAGTTCAACAAGGCCAAGTGCAAGGTGCTGCACCTGAGTTGCTGCAATCCTCAGCACAGACACAGGCTGGGAGATGAAGGGACAGAGCAGTCCTGAGAAGGATTTTGGGGTACTGGGTGATGAGAAGCTCCCCCCAATCCACCTTCAGTGTGTGCTTGAGCTCAGAACCCCCCCCATGTGCTGGGCTGCACCCCCAGAGCATGAGCAGCAGGTCAGGGAGGGGATCCTGCCCCTCTGCTGTGCTCTGGGGAGACCCTCCCTGCAGCCCTGATCCAGCTCTGGGGAACAGCACAAGAGGGACGTGGAGCTGCTGGAGCGAGGCCAGAGGAGGCCACAGAGCTGCTGCAAGGGCTGGAGCAGCTCTGCTCTGGAGCCAGGCTGAGAGAGCGGGCTGGGTCAGCTGGAGAAGGCTCCTGAAGGGGAGACCTTAGAGCAGCTCCAGTGCCTAAAGGGGCTGCAGGAAACCTGGAGAGGGGCTTTGGACAAGGGATGTAGGGACAGGACAAGGGGAATGGCTTTAACCTGCCAGAGGGGAGATTGAGATGAGCTCTGAGGCAGAAGCTTTTCGCTGTGAGGGTGCTGAGGCGCTGGCACAGGGTGCCCAGAGAAGCTGTGGCTGCCCCATCCCTGGCAGTGTTCAAGGCCAGGTTGGACACAGGGGCTTGGAGCAACGTGCTCTAGTGGAAGGTGTCCCTGCCCGTGGCAGGGGTTGGAACTGGAGGAGCTTTAAGGCCCCTTCCAACACAAACCAGGCTGGGACTCTGTGAAAAGGAGCCCTCCTCTGATACTGAGTAGGAGCTAGGGAAGAAATGGAGTTTCTACTTAAACAGTCACCCTCCAGCTTCCGAAGGTTCCTGAGCCGCAGGAGGCAGACACTAAACACACAGATGTTACACACCAATTACACACACAATAACTTGTGAGTCTTCCAGAGCATCAGACAACTAAACACCATTACTGCAATAGAATTCCTGCCCAGAAAGCACAGCAAAACCAAACCAGGTATGTTCTATACAGCTATCAGCACTGGGGAAGCTGAAGCTCCAGCTCTGTCTGCTGCTCTGGAAGTCATGATGAGGCAGATTCTAAAATTAAATTAAATTAATTGGAACCAATTTCTTAATTACCCAGCTCCAGCTGCCCTTCCTATGAAACACAAGGGTGGTATTAATAGCTTTGATTTCCATGTCCCTGAGGGAATTGAAGCTTTCAACATCTCTGACCTCCAGTGTAGAGCTTCCAGGGGCCCTCAGAATCCTGAGCTCCTTCTAAGTAAAGAAATTAACAAATGACATTTCTGTGCTTTTGCTGCACCCCAAAATAAATGCAACATTCCTCTTGTACAGCCCAGCTTAAAGCCTGGCTTTAGACAAAGAAGTCATTTGGAATTCTCCTTATACTCAAATACAAATGAAAATGTACATATACATCGCTGTGCCTGCCATTAACCCAATTTCCTACCAATCTCTGCACCAAATACATGGTATTTTTACTATGTTTAAATTCCACTGTTCTACAATCACACACTGAGCTCAAAAAGAAGAGGTAAACTATAATCAGTAGTGAACTGGGGTTTTTTTCCAACAGAGAACTTTATGTTCTCAACATGGGTAACTATTAACTTCTGTCTCATTCTAAGAGCTGCAGAGTATATGTGTAGGTGAGAAATGTCACAGCTAAAGAAGTAGCTGAATCCAGATAACACCTAATCACAAACTCATAGAATGGTTTGGTTTGGGTTGAAGGGACCTTAAAGCTCATCCAGTTCCAACCCCTGCCTCGGGCAGGGACACCTTCCACTAGAGCAGGTTGCTCCAAGCCCCTGTGTCCAACCTGGCCTTGAACACTGCCAGGGATGGGGCAGCCACAGCTTCTCTGGGCACCCTGTGCCAGCGCCTCAGCACCCTCCCAGGGAAGAGCTTCTGCCTCACAGCTCATCTCAATGTCCCCTTGGGCAGGTTAAAGCCATTGCCCCTGTCCTGTCCCTACATCCCTTGTCCAAAGCCCCTCTCCAGGTTTCCTGCAGCCCCTTTAGGCACTGGAGCTGCTCTAAGGTGTCCCCTTCAGGAGCCTTCTCTTCTCCAGCTGCCCCAGCCCAGCTTTCTCAGCCTGGCTCCAGAGCAGAGCTGCTCCAGCCCTCGCAGCAGCTCCGGGGCCTCCTCTGGCTTCGCTCCAACAGCTCCACGTCCTTCTAATGGCCAAGTCCAAATGAATTTCCTTAAGAACTCTGCTACAGGAGACAGAAAACCTGCCATATTCTCCCTATCCCCTTGGCTTGGATTTCATCTTCCTCTGCTCCAATCTGCCATCCTCCACACTACTCCAACACTGCTGCAACCCAAAGTGCTTGCAGCAGCCAGCCACTACTTGATAACCTCATCCATCATGTCCACTGCCTTTAAACACACTTGAGCCCTACAGGCTCACTTTCATCCAAGTGGCTTTTCAGCTTCTTTTTATACTCAGACTTTCTTTTTTCCCCTCCTAAGTCACGGTCAATTGATCCATATTCCTCTCAGTGCCTTCTTTTCCATTCCAACTATGCCACCTGCTCACAGTTTTCCAAATACCACCTCTCCACATGGAGGACAAAAGAAGAGTATACTCCAAAGCTCCAGCAATCAACAGCAAACACCATGTGTGCTCCTCCTCTGAGTTTTGAGCAAGCAGCATTTAGTTGCTCTGAATAAGCAAGATGCAGAACATGTCTCATGTCACAGCCACTATCTTTGTAGTTAGTGGATCTAACTTTTCAATTTAAACAATTGGAAAATTCAATTGCAAAAGTGACTCTTGTGTGACATTCTTCTAGATCAACCAAGAGGTCACCCCTTCTTGCAGCAACCTCAAATTTTCCTGCACATCTCTCAACCAAATGGGGGATCAGTGTTACTCCATGTGTTACAAAATCAGCCAAAGGAGTCACAAATTCAGCTCAGACAACTGAAATCCCCTCCGAATACATTGCTTTCTTCATGTCAGATCCACATGTTTGGTGGTACAGGGAAACTTCATTAAGGTTCTGGTGCCTGCAGGCAGTTCTGAGGCTCATTCACTAATCTGGAATGCCACTGCCACATCTCCTCTGTTCTGATCAGCACTACTTTCTCTCTCTCTTTGCCCATTTTCATGCTACTCCCTATACCTAAAGTCAGCAAAGAGCATAAGGAAGAGGAAAAACAGAAATAAAACAACCACTTCACAAAGCTGGAAAACAAGAGACAGAGTTGTAAAAATAAATGAGGACAAGTTACATTAGCAAAAGGAATGGCAGAGGGTTTGTTATGTACCCGTCTGCACACTGGTAACTCTTGGCAACACTTTGAATCATTCTGATTTTCTCATTTACCAATGTTGTAAGTAATGAGAGGAAAAAATGATAGAATGAGAATTACAAAAGCAAAACCAACAAGAAGAAACCAGCCACAAGACATAATGAATGGCAACCACCCTCTAAAAAAACCAAAGCCACACACCCCTGTTCTAGCAGAAGGACTCCTTCTTGTTTATTCCAAAAGAATATAGGCAAACAACACGACTGGTATTGGTGTTCCTGTATGATGGTCCTGCTCTTTGGAATATTGGCATTAAGAAAATTTACTGGTAGAAGTAAAGGGCAAAGATACCTCTGAATCTGCCACTAAATTGGATTTGACAGCAAGAACCAGACTTGTACAGCCCAAATTATTCACATGCTATTGTTTTCTACAGAAGAAAATGTGAGCAAGCTTAAAAATTGTTTATGTCTTTCCATAGGTTTTATGGACACTATAGATGCAATGAGATACACCTGCATCTAACAGTGGCAAAGAACACTTCACAGAACCATTAAAACTACTTACACAGAGAATAACAGCACCTTGTAATGAAAGGAGACAGCCAAGCACAAGAGAAACATGGTACAAGGTCAAATATGAACCACTCAGTGATTACATTATCTGCACCCTCTCAGCTATCAAAATCCTCCAAGGAAGCACTTTAGGTGCTTGTGCATCACCAAAGATGATGAATTCCCCACCTTCAATTCAGGTATTACTAAACGGATGCACTGTGACAATTCCAGCAAAACCCTCGTTGGAATTCCAACTGCAACAAAATCCACAGCACTCATCTGTGCAATGAACATGACCCACAAGCCTTCAGCTTGTTGCCTGTCAAAGAGCAACAGCCTTCAGAGGGGCATGAGCAGCATGAACATGGGAGGCAGAAATTGAATCCATCAGCTGGTGTCACAGTGTAATTACAGCAATAACAACTGGCAGATTTAGTCTCATTAGACTAAATAAATTCAGTAAGTAACAAATCAAACAGTGTAAAAGCCTGGACTTGTGGCCCTGACCTGCTCCTCCGACTGCTCTGTGACCTTGAGCAAATCAAGCCTTAGTTTTCCAGCCACAGAAGAGTAATTCCAATCCTACTGCTTATCAGAAATAGCCAGTGTTACACTGGTAGGCTACACATCCCAAAACCAGCTTACACACCACAGAGCTTACAGCTGGGGAGGCCTGGGAGGAGGAGGAGAACTGGTCAAAGGAACATTTTCCATTCTGACTTTGTCCCAGTGATATTCAGAGTCATCTCCCCACAAGGGGCTCTGTGACAAAAGCAGCACTGCAGGAAACTTGCAGTCACGAACTTACCGTGATCACATCCAGAATGCTGAGAAGGCTGTGGACACTGTCTCCTGCCAGCACCTCCTTCACAACCACTTCTGTTCCATCCTGCAAGTGTAGCATAGATCAGTGCAGGCTCAGAGCTGCACATCTGGCAGATAGGGAGCACTTCAGGAAGCTTGCTTGCTCTCAGTCTCCCAGATACTCTGAGCAGTCTCCAAAGAAACAGTCCCTTGTTGCAACTTGGGTGTTTGTTTTCTCTCTGCTCTGATGGAAATGTGCTCATTCAAACCACCAAAGTTTTAAACCACCATTCTGAAAGTGATGAATCTAAAGAAACTAAAAGCCAGATTGTTTCAAGGGAGATGTGACCTGCTTGTGTTTGCTGTGGAACAACCACTTTAAAACAGCTCCCTTCACCCTGAGACAAAATCAGCTCCCTTTAGTCGAGGGGTTACACGTCAAGAAGGATGACGTGTCAATGGTTTGTACAAAACAAAGAACAGCAAAGTGCAAAACTACATAGAAATCAGAGAATGTGGTATAATTTACTAAGACAAACCCCTGCATTTTCAGCCACCAGAAAACTGTTCACAGGTTAAAGCTAAAGTCAAAGCTCAGACAAGAAGACACACCTAAGTTGGCAGAAGGGGTGGCAAGGACTGGCACTCAGCATTTCAAGAGTCACCCATAAAACAAGCCATCATTTCTTTTCCCTGTCTACCCAAAATGCATTCTGGATGTTCCCCCTCCCAGGCAACACTGCTAGTACCACACTAGAGTATTATGGCATGGAGTATACTCAGGCTCTCCTGCTGTGGACACAAACTGGTCTATACAGCTACCACCCAAGACAAGAACGTTCCCAGCAGCCCAAAGAGCCTGCCTTGCACCCTGCCCTCCCTCAGTAACTATGCAGCCAGAGCTCATGAGAACATTTCAGAATGCCTGGTCAGCACTGGGCTGCATTCTCTTATCTAAGACACTGGGCACCACACCTAAAAACCTTGATCTTTATAAATATCATGCCTCTGAAGCAGTTTGAGGTAATCCTTTCTAAACCATGATGATTCAAATGTCTACGTTTAATCAATGCTTAATGATTCATGCTGGCTTGTATGCTATGCCAAGTGATTTATCGCAAGAACCACAGACCAGTTTGTTCTTACACTCTCCTGAATGCAGACTTCCAGCTTGCCATCCTGCACCACGTAGATGCTGTTATCCAGCTGCCCAGGGCGGAAGATATATTCGCCTTCATGCAGCTGCACAAAGAACATGTGCTTGCACAGTTCCAGGAAGAGAGGCTTCTCAAAGTGGCCGAGGACCCTGCAGGGAAGAAAAGGCAAAGGGAAACCTAAAATTAACACTAATCTTGGAAAATCCTTCGTAAATTAGCAGAATAGCAGAGGAACCCCAGAGCTGGTTGTGGCATGGCAGGAGGAGCAGGACTCCCCCAGACAGAAGTGCAAAGCACTGTGAAACACTGAAAACTGGAAACACTGGAGCTCTTTCCTGAGTAGCACCCTGAACACCAGCAGGCTCCAAAGGAAGTACATCCAGTCTTCCTCAAGCCAACAGCAGCTTTAGAAGAGGGACAAATATCAAAGTCTGCAAATTCACACACTGCATGAGAAGTTACCCTATGGACCTTTCCCTTCCAGTGCAGCTCCCTGCCCATAGACCAGAACATGAGGAATACTGAAAACAAAGGGGAAAATTCCTGCCATCTGCATGTATTTGAAAGTTTGGAATATTCCATCTCCTGCAGGTAAAGTGCAATTGGGCTCCTCCGACATTGAAACTAGCCATTTGCTACCAGGCAGACAGAAATGCACATCTTAAAGCTGATCACGGCATGCACAGCACCAGAGGGACACCTCCCCATGGCTCCATGAGCTCCCATTTAACAAGCTCAATCAGTCAAATTCTACTGCAACATCAATTAGTCACAGGAGGTCAGAATTCCACAGCAGAAAGTTTAGATGACTTAAATACCAGTTTTAATAGCACCTGTTTGACCTTCGGGACTAAACTGTATCATAATTAGGAGAGAAATGAACATGCACAAACAAAACCAAAATTACAGATCAGAAGATCTCATCCTCTTTGCTGGGTCAGCAAGTTTAACCCCTTACTGAACAGGCACAAAGCCCATCCCTTACCTCAACCCACCAAACAGCTGTGGGGATTAAGTCAACTTTGATTCTATTTGTACCCTTTTTAGCCATAGAAGTGAAAATTCTGCAGTTTATGGAGCTGTCAATATGGAATCCAATTAACATTTACCAATTCTGGTGTTTTCTGTACCAAAAAATTAGCTGATACAGTCTAAAGGGGACTTTTTAAGTGCACTGACAGGAATCTGCTCATGTTAGAACAGCTGTCCCGAATTCAGGCCACTAATTCATGTCCTTTTAGTTTTCTAAATATACTCAAAGATTTCCCTAAAGTTTCTTGAGAATTAGATGTCATCCCTGGCAGTGTTCAAGACCAGGTTGGACACAAGAGCTTGGAGCAACCTGCTCTAGTGGAAGGTGCTCTTGGACACCTTCCTTCCTTGGCAGGGGTTGGAACTGGATAAGCTTTAAGGTGCCTTCCAACACAAACCAATCTATGATTCAACGATTTATTCTCTTCTCATGCTCAGATGAATTTTCAGTCAACTCCTTAAAGGTTCTGACCATGCAGTGATAAACTTTAAGACTTGACACAAACTGCCAAATACTCAGAACACCCGAACATCCAACAACACCCAAATCCAAACTTACCTTCCTGTTTGACATTACCTGACATTTTTAAGCATGTACAGGACTTCAGAAGGCAAATGGGAATTCTTGACATCAAACTCGGTCAGATCTGCCTCTAGCAAAGAAGGAGGCGGTTCTTTGGGCTGCAGAGTTGGACATTCCTTCTTAATCCGCAGAATCCTGCAAAAAAGAAAAAAAAAAACACACAAGAGAGGAAGTTCAAGAACTCCCTCATTTGTCTCAAGCATGGGCTTTGCACTGCCACTAAGGCTGAGTACAATACTAGAGCACACTGTGCCTAGAAACAACTGTTATCAATCAGATAAAACAGAAGTGTTCCACTCTCCTGCCTTCCTTCAGCAAAACCAGACACTGCTGCGGGCATAAACCTCTGTGTCAGCAAAACTTCCCAGGAAAGCGCCAGGCTGTGGAAAACCAGCAGCTATGAAGAAGTGTGATGCTTGGGATAGGTTCCACATCACAAAGAAAAAACCCCAAAACCAGCCTCCATGGCATGAATACTCCCTTCCCAAAGGCCCAAGTACCTTTTAGCCAAAGATAACACTTTTGCGCGCTTCCGCATCCGCTGGCGAGGCACAGTATTCCCAACCAGGGAGTTTGGGAGGGTTGTAACCTGGGGGAAATAATGCCAACAGAACCATTTACTGAAAAGCAAACCAAAACACCAACCCATTAGTTCCAACCTGCAAAGGCTCCAACTCTGATCTACCAAGTCATTAGACCGTGAGCAGAGCGAAGCACTCGTGTGAGACCCCAGAGGACTGGAACAACATCTCCTCCAGGCCCAACTTCTTTCTAAAAACAAGTTTAATAAGTGGCTACTACAGTGGTAATGGAAGGTAGAGGGAAAAAGCCCTTAGCTACACGGTTCTTACTCAGGAACACTCAGCATCAGGCAGCCAAGTGACACATAAAGCACCGATGCTCCCATATCAGGTTGGGATGCAGTCCCGCAGTAAAGCGTTCACCAGGTTTAGCAGTGACCACGTGCCACCTCCTGGAGAAACGCAACAACTGCAAGAGCAGGAAAACCCCTTTTAAAACATTGTTTGTTTCTCAAAGAGTTGAACCCCAGGGAGAAGTTTCCCTCACAAAAGAAATCTGAAATTAGCGTGGAGGCTCTTTGGTGGATTTTTGTTTGGTTTTAAGTAAAATCTTGGCGTTTTATCAAAACTCTATGAAGTATAATCAACAGAGGTTAGTTTGTTATATTCTATGTCTTACTCAAGAATAGGAGCAAAAAGCAAGGTCTGAAACCCCAAACCAAACACTACCTGAAATGATTTACCATGGGGAATTCTAAGCGTTCTTTACTTCTGTGTGTTCCATATGAACAGGTATGTTGAAGAACATTAAAATCACTGGCAACACACAAAAGATTTCCTTTTACTGAGGGCTTTTTTGGCCAAGTTCTATGCAAAGACTGCTCTGCAAAGCAAAAGCAAGGTTCAGGAGTAACCTCCTCCCTCCACAACAAAACAGAGCTCCAGAACTGAGCATTAAATCCAGGACAGTGTCTAATTAAGCCCAAGCATCTGAATTCACCCCAGCACAGTTCAGCAGTTTGGAGGCAGAGGGCTGCAGTGTTCCTCAACAAACAGGGACTAACAAAGCCTGGTTATTTACATGCACCTTGTTTTAATACAGATGTTGGGTTTAGGTGACCCAGCAACATAGGAAGACACTCGGATTCAAGCCTGTCACCCCACGGGCACAGCTCAGACCCCTCAGCCATGCTCTGGCTTTGGTCCCAAAGGGGGCCAGTCCCATTCCTGCCTCCCAGCTCCCTCCAGGAACCCACCAGACCCACACCCCTGGTTCTGGCTCTACAACAGGGAGGGCAGGGAGCACTTAGTCAGAATTAAACAGCCTTTCTCCTTCACTATCTGTATCCACCATCAATCAACACGACTACAAGCAATAACGATCTGGTACTCTGAAAAGGGGTCTGGGTTCCCACCTGAGTAACAGGCAGCTTCCCAAAGACAGGAGTTAGCAATAGCCTCTTAAATACTAAGAACTGCACATGGAGGTCCACAAAGCCACTACACAGATTTTGGTAAGGGAAGTGTTAAGTAAGGAAGTCACCTCAACCTACAGGACCTACTGAACAAGCTTGTAACACCACCAAAAAAAACCTCTGCTCTGACACAGCCTCTCCTGACTCTGCTGAAAAGATTAATTCTTCTGACCACAGTGGTACTGTCAGTCAGGAAAACAGATGAATCTCATACTCCACAAACACTAAGTAGACTCGTAGATTGATTTAAGTTGGAAGGGACCTTAAAGCTCATCCAGTCCCAGCCCCCTGCCACAGGCAGGGAGCACTTCCTCTACAGCGACACCTTCCACTAGAGCAGGTTGCTCCAAGCCCCTGTGGCCAGCCTGGCCTTGAACACTGCCAGGGATGAGGCAGCCACAGCTTCTCTGGGCACCCTGTGCCAGCGCCTCAGCACCCTCACAGGGAAGAGCTTCTGCCTCAGAGCTCATCTCAGTCTCCCCTCTGGCAGGTTAAAGCCATTCCTGTTGGCCTGTCCCTACATCCCTTGTCCAAAGCCCCTCTCCAGGTTTCTTGTAGCCCTTTTAGGCACTGGGAGACTCTTCTCCAGTAGCTTCAAGGGAAACATAGTTTGAGGAGAAAGACAGGAAGATTAATCTCCTCAAATAACTGGAATCAGCGCTGAACACCCAGCACACCCACTGACATTAACCTAATCCTCTAAGGGAAATGACTGTCTGCAGGTTTCCTCAATCACCTTGTCACAACTTCCTAGGAAAAGACACTTGCAAAGAGAAAAGTATAAAAACAAACAAAAAATAAAATGGCAGTTCATATCAAACAGCCACAGTCTTGAAGGGTTTAACCAGCTGATGCTGAAAGATTCCCGACTGATGGAAAATTCTTGGTGAGAACTTCCAGAACAATAGGACAGGAATGACATCAGGACAGGCACCTGAGGGCACAGGTGGGTACAGTCCAATCCAAGGCAAAGATTTCAACCTTGGGATAAACCCCTCTTGAACGGTCTCTAGTGAGACAGTTTGACAAGTCTTGTTTGCAGCTGAGTACAGAACACAAGGGCTTAGTGAAGTACTTGTGCTCCTCCCAGCCAGGCTGCAGAAAGGTAGATCCAAGTATCTGCTCTGCAGACTCAGGTGGGAGAGAAGGTGTCAGCCTGGAAAGCAATGGCAGTACTGGAAGTCATTATGTGAAAAGGACAATCCTGAATACAGGCACTGAGTATCTTGAACGTAATCCTGAATACTGAGAAGGATGGATTAAACCATCACCAGCTCTATAGAGAAGTTAGATAGTCACTGATTTACTACTACCCTCACTGTTGCAGATATTCTTGAAAGAGAAGGCCTGGCCAGGAGCAGAAGCCATCACTGTTCCACCAGAGACTGTCAGAGTTCCAAGAGTCTTGAAATATCCCCAAAAATCCAGTGAAATTTTATAGGTTGAAGACCCTAGACCAGGGTAAGCAAGTGAAGCACTGCAAAGACCACAGCACCTCCTAGACTGGATTTTAACCTTTACTTCCCTCCCCCTGTGCCAGAGGTTCTCACCTTCCTCATGATCTTCCGCCCATAGAACATCACCTTGTCCCGCTTGCGAAATCGGTACTGAGGCACCTGAGGCTGAGGTTGTTCTGAAACACAGAAGCACCACATCAGAGACCACCACCTGCAGCTCCACACTGAGGGGAAGGACACTGAGCACAGGCTGGCAACTGTGCTACCACTGTAACAGCCATGGCTCCAGTCTGCTAAGCAGCAAGCTTTGGAACGTAAACCAACACAAGATACCTCATTACCCAGCTCTGGTCAGCCAAGGCAGTCTAGGGAAGAGCTGGCTTGAGGCTCTACCTAATTACCAGGGGAGAGAAAAAGGCTCTCTCCATGGATATAAGGCTCAGGTAATTTTAATCTCACACAGCAAACCTCCAGTTCACCTGTTTCTCATTACTGTGGCAGTGAAATCATAGCAGGGTTGAAATTCCTTGCATGATTTGCAACTGCAGAGAAATAAAACCCTGCAGCATCTTGCACGTGACAGGAATTCTGTGTTCAGACCTGGGTACGTGAATCAACACAAGTTCTTTACCCTTTCAAAGCTGTTTTCCTGCCAGAAGCACAACTTTCACAGCTAACATCTACCATGTGTAGATACTAGCTGTAGATAAACACACTGAAGATAGCAGAGAAAACTGTTTAAAACACACATAGTTTTGAGTACTTACTAGACTGTCTCACTCTTCTGTAAACGACAAACACCACAACTGCTATGAGTAGTAATGCGACTGCAGCTCCAATTGCAATTCCAGTCAGCTGTGAGAGGAATGTAGTGGGGAAAGAAGTCAGTAACTTCTAATATTGAGAATTATTAAGTACTCTGTGGAGAGCTGAAGCTCAGAGAGATGTCTGTAAGTCAAGCACGTTCATAAATAGCTAATTCACTCATAAGCTCACATGGCAGATATTCATCATTTTTCCCCCAGAGATCTGTGATCAACTTTATGTCCATGAGATGAAACAACAGGAATTAACTCCTGCCTCATGCACAGCAAAGAAACAAACACTCAGTCTTTGGCTGTGACTTAGGAGAGCTCCTAGACCCTGAAAGCAGCTACCCCCTAGTTATGCACAGCCATTCCTCCCCCAGCTGATGGAAGCTGCACTTTACCATAGTGGTCTGTATCCTGTCTTCTACAAACCGGAGAATCCGCGTCCCTCCTGCTGGCAGCACAGCCTGGCAATGAAAGGAAGGTGAGATTAGTCTCCCATCAGCAAAAAGCCTCCATAAAAGCATCTCAACACCCGGTCTGCTGCATACAACACAACCTGATTGTATTTTCCAACATCTTTATTTCAACTACAGCCCACTTTGCCACCAGAGGACGAGGGAGAGGGGTCATCAGTGGAGCGTCAGTTCACCGCGTTCCTAAGCAGTCCTAAACCAGGGTCAGACAGTGAGGGGATAACATTTTCTGGTGATTCTGTGTTACTCAGAGCAGCAAGGATAAGAACTGAATGAAAAGGGCTTTAAGAGACTGAAAAAATAAGTCATAAAGCAGCATAAAAAGACAACCAAGCATATGGGAACAAGCCCTAACTGCAGATATAGTGTCCTGGGACCTGTGCTGACTACTGGTGATCAGGAAAAAACCTGGCAGTTAAAACAGGCTCACAAATGCCAGCCCAAAACTTAACAGAATGGGGAGGAGTGGAGGAAGCAAACCAAATATTAGAACAAGCAGGAAACAATGAGAGTACAGGGACAGATACACCCCCTGTAAGTCTTCAACCTTACAAGGACCTAAATCAACAGGCAGCTCTGGGCCCAGTGTTTGCCCTCAGCTCCTGAGCTGGATGACATCCTCGTTCAGCTTTGCCACCAAGAGGAAAATGAAGTGCACACCAGGAGCCACCAAACTAGTCCTGCTCATGGAATTCATTCCAGTTCTACAGCATAAATAAAACTCCTGCCTGAGCAGTCAACTCAAACAGAGCAGCCTGTCATCTCAGGCTGCTTTAACATGGCATATCAACACGTTGCCTTCCCAGCATGAGTCAAACTAACCTTAACACCAGACTTGTCAGACTATTATTAGTGGGACTGTAGTGGAAAGTCACAAGAATTTGAAAAAACAAACGAAAAGCTGAAAAATTGTTAGCAAAAAATCCAGTACATGCTGGTAAAATGTTCTTGGTGTGTCTGTTGTGGTCACTGCATTGATTTCCCCTTGACAGTGTCAGGGACACACTCAGTTCTGCTACTGTCCAGGCCTGTGGGGTCTCAAATAACAGCAACCATAGTAGTTGCCAGCTGATAGTCACATTGCTGCTGTCAGGAGAAGAAACAAATCCAGAAGCAAAAGAATAAACCACGTACACACACAGCCTGAGCCCTCACATCTCAGTACAGAAAAGCATTGAGGGAAAGAAGAAATTCAGACCTGCAAGAAAAACCAAGTGGTTCTTGCAAGGTTTCCCATGAACACCAGTGAGAACATGGTATTTGCCCTCTGCACCTGGTGGGGTGTCCTCTCAAACACTAACAATCCTCCAGGAACAGCAGAGAAAGGAAGCAGACAGGCTGCACCCGTACAGACATGGCAGCAGCTACTGGTACAGAACAGCATTTGAGCTCTGCAGGGCCACCCAACAGCCCGAGTCCGCAGCACCTCTCACAGGAGGGCTCCAGAAGCACTGAGGCCCCAGAATTTCCTCTGTGCCTTACACAGAGCAGCTCCAGTGCCTAAAGGGGCTGCAGGAAACCTGGAGAGGGGCTTTGGACAAGGGATGTAGGGACAGGACAAGGGCAATGGCTTGAACCTGCCAGAGGGGAGATTGAGATGAGCTCTTGGGCAGAAGCTCGCCCCTGTGAGGGTGCTGAGGTGCTGGCACAGGGTGCCCAGAGAAGCTGTGGCTGCCCCATCCTTGGCAGTGTTCAAGGCCAGCTTGGATTAGGCTTGCACAAAAGCTCAGCGCTCCCTGCAGCTCCCACACGGCTCCACTCACCCACAGCCCAACTACAGCTACTGGATTTTCACAGAACACTTCTGAGCAGTGTGCAGGGGGGTTGTGTGTAGTTTTTAGTTGTGGGAAGGATTCTTTCCCGCTGTGAGCCTTGTCCTTCATTGCTATGACAAGCACCAGGAGCCTTGCTGGACGATGAGGTTTGTATTTATGAGCAAGAACAAACTCTAGAAGAGCTGGTGGCCAAAGAACACCACATTCTGCTGTCTTTAGACTAAGAAACCTACTGTTGAAGCAAAAGGCACTTTGATCAGATCATCATGCTAACAGCTTGGAACATGAAGCAGTGTGAGTGGTCTGCAGTAACAAACAGACTAAAATTAAAGATAAAATATTAAAAACATACACACACCAAAAAAATGGGGGTAAGTCTGAAGGTTTTGGAAGGATAAAACTCTTGCAGGAAATGTGCTTTCAAAGTAAAGGCAGCTAAAGATGTTAGCCAAATGTTATCAAATGCAGCACAGCAGCTTTCAGCTTCTGCAGGCAGCAATGGGGAAATAAAGGCATCCAAAACCAACAACAAAGCAAATCCTACCTCGAGGCTGGTGCTGTTTGTGTCTTCATCCATGTCTGGAGATAGGACAGGAGCAGAAACAAAAACAAAACAAGAGCCAGTTAAGAGATGGCCTCTCTCTCCAACCCAAACTCTTCTGAACTCCACAACACAAAGCGTCACCAGAACAGCTCCTCCTGGCCGGCAGAACCAGCCAAGTCAGCAGAAACTCTGTGGGCTTTTACTTGTCTCTTTTTCTCTGTGTTGAGCAAGAGAACCCAGTACCCTTTCGAGGGGAGGCTCTGCGACCAGCACCGACAATACACAAGTCCTCTGGGGAGCGTGTGACGGGGCTCGGCTCTGCTCCGCCTCAGAGGAGCCGCCCATCCGTACAGCACCCCAAGTGCTGGGGGCACCCACGGCAGCAGCACCCGCGGAGCAACCTCAGGGGGCCGGGGGCTGTAAGGAAACAAACACTGCCCCGTCCCTGGCAGTGTTCAAGGCCA